TATTTGTGGTTGAGATCTCTTTCAATTTTACATTAAAGTTAATCTGACAGCTAATATTAACACTCCAAATTTAATAAGAAAAATAGGCCTCTAAGGGTGTGTTTAGGACTGACTTTTTAAAAGTGCTTTTAATATTTATAGTTTCTCATAAATATTTTTGAAAAAAAAGTAGTGTTTTGAACCACCCCACCACCATCACCATCGCTCTACCACCATTACCTTTACCACCACCACCGCCATCCCACCCTATTACCAAACTACCCTCACCATCATCACCACCACCACTATCATATCCACCGTAGCTACCCACCACCATTACCCTACCCACCGCCTCACCACCACCATCACCAATACCACCAGCCCTGCCCCTTACCACCACCATCGTTGTCGTAACCATACCACCCCCTACTATCACCACTGTTGCCACCCACCACAATCACCACCATCACTACCCCCCTGCCCAACCACCACTATCCCCTATTACACCCACCATTACCGCCACCACCACTGTCACCTCTACCCCACCATCACTTCTACCACAACAACTACCATTATCACCACTATCCCTTATTATTACCACCATCGTCGTTATTATTATCGCCACCCCACCACTACCACCCCTATCACCCGACCACCACCATCCCACTACCCCCACCACCACCATCACTATCACCCCTTACAAACACCACCATTACCACAACCACCGCGACCGCTACCCCTACCACTACCATTACCACTACAATCACTCACTCCCACTATAACTGGTAATTAAATTACTTTCTCTCTTCTCTATATTTGTGATTTAATTTTAGATGTGAATATAAATATATTTATTGTTGATCATTTTTTTATTACTATGTACCTTCAAGTATAGACAATAATTGGTGTTTCTATATTGTCCCTCAAGCAAACGTCGTCCAAATTACTAACGATTTTTTATCATAAACTTATCACGTGATACTTAAATATGGATAAAAAAAATTTAGATAACTTTTGACTAACTTTTTATTCAAATTTTTATTAAATAGCTATACACAATTTTGATCATGAGCTATCCTAATTTTAGTCAAAAGTTATCTATATTACGCATTTTTTGTCAACCGCTACTTAAATTTTATTTAAGAGCAATCAAAATTATTTTTTACTCATATTTAAGTATTACGTGACAAGTTTATGATAAAAAATCGTTAATAATTTGAACATTGTCTGCTTGAGGGATTACATAGAAACATATTCAATACTTCAGGGACCAATGATATAATTGAAATATAGATGACCAAAATGAGATAAACCTCATACTTTGAGGATCTTCAATACAATTAACCTTTTTTTTCCCTTTAAAAGTACGAAAAATTATTGGGAGTAACAATAAGACCAAGTCATCGCGGATATATGATATCACTATTTAATAAAAATATAATAAATAAGTATATAAATTTCACATATTTTTATAATTAATCATCCTACCATGTCATTTAATAACCATTTAAGTGAGATTCACTTTACTTATTTATAAATTTATTATTGAATATTGACAGTCAAAGATTAAAATTTTGTTTCGATCACCTAGAAAATAGAAATATTTCGACGTATTTCGAAAACATTTCAACCTAATTCAGAAATATGATGAGAAAAATAAATAATTTGAGAATTATTTTTTCAAAATATTAGCCAAAATATACTAAATTATCTTAAAATATTCTAAAATAATTGTCCAAATGTATTAAAACATTACAAAACACATTGAAATATTATGAAATACATCAAAATATTAGAATTTCGATTATATTTTACTAATTCATTTCGGTTTTCTTGAAAAACGGAAATATTTCGAGTGTTTCGACCGTTTCGAAAAGAAAATTTTGATCCTTGCTGACAGTATGTATCAATGATAACGTGATATCACGGTTAAACTCAATATTTAAAGCACACTATCCACGGTTATTGAAAATTAATTTTCCTTGTTTGTTAGTTTGTGTAAAGGACCAAAAAAGGGTAGAAATCATTAAAGACAGAAAGCTAAACGAGTGGAGAGAGAACGATTAACTTTTTGATTAGAAAGACAAAAATAATTAATTTTCATAAACATAATTATGTATATCTATATCTATATTACTAATAGAAATACCTTAAGGTAAAAAATTTTTGAATCTCTATTTTATCCGTATGTAGGATTGTAAAAATCATTCTATCAATTCACAACTAAATAGCAAAATTACTATTATATACATATATATTTAAATCTCTAAATTATTTATAACAACTTTTTTCATTCTCTATGTATAAATATTTTATTGACTATATTACCCTTAAAAAAATAAAAAATATGCATAATTATATTTTTTATAAAGTGTTCTAAAAACTTTAAAAAATTTCATTAATCTAATATTACTCTATCTTATGGAAAGATAATATTATACCTACATATGCAAATTTAACCCTTTTATTTATAAGATAAAAGAAAATTGTTATATATTTTTTTAGAGAATTACACTCGGACCCCTGAGATTTGTTAATTAATCATTTAGACCCCTGATATTTAAAATATTACACACAGACCCCTTTAAAGATTTTACGCACGAAACACTAAGACCTCTACTGTAAATATATCCGTTAATAAATTCAGACCTCCTGAAATTTGTATACATATATTATTTAAACCTCGTAAGTTTAAAATATTATACTTACACTAAAAATATTTCAATCAAAAATAAAAATAACAAATATTTTAAATGTTAAAATTTATGTTATATTGTATTATTTTTTAAAATAAAATTCAATTTTTTCTTAAAAGATTATAATTAGTATACAATTATATTATCTATTAGAATTTAAATTGGTCGTTTTAAATATCAAAATACCTCAATTAAAGTTAAAAGATATTGTGTCTATTACAGTTTGATCCCTTGTTTAATTTTTTAGTTTTATTCTAATAGATAATATAATTATATATACTAATTATGATTTTTTTTAAAAACCTAGAGTTTTATTATTTATTTTATTTCAATAAATAACATAATGGAACATGAATTTTGGATGTAAAATTCATGCTCATGTTCTAGTATGAATGACTTAGAGTCCTTGTTTATTTTTTTAATTTTATTCCAATAGATAGTATAATTATATACTAATTGTAATTTTTAAGAATTTTTGTTTTATTTTTAATTTTATTTCAATAAATGATACAATAGAAATATGAATTTTGATAATAAAATTTAAAATATTTGATATTCTATTTTTAATTAAAATATTTTTAGTGTAAATATAATATTTTAAACTTAAGGGGTCTAAAAATTTTATATTTATAAATTTTAAGGGATCTAAGTATAATTTATTAACGAATATATTTACAGTAAAGATCTAAGTGTTACAAACGTACAAACCTCAAGAGATTTGTGTTTAATATTTCAAATATTAAAAAGTCTAAATGATTAAGTAACAAACCTAAGAGGGTCTAAGTGTAATTCTCACAATTTTTTTTAAATCATGTTCCTTCAATATAATTCTTCAATCACACTAAAATTTTTAAGTTGTACTATAATTTTATGTAAAAATAAACATTATAGTGTATTTTTAAGTAAAATTTTAATATATTTGATATTATATATATATATTATAGAACAATATATTAAATTTTATCCCAATTAACTTAACTAAATATTAATTACAATAAAATTTCAATGTGATTTGTATATTGACAATTATTTTTATTTTATTTAAAGAATTATAAGTGAAATCTTAATCAAACAAATTTCAAGAAATTTAATTTCACAAACATCACTAAATCACAATTTTTTTTATAAAAAAACAGCACTTTAACTATTTCTTTTTTTATTTATATAATTAAAATAAAGAATTTTGAGAATACACAAAATTTTCATAATTTTATAATAAAATATGAATAATAAAAAATTAAGTTTTGTGATTTTAAAATAATATTTAATTTAAACATATATATACCTAATATATTTTATTAATTTTTATGTACAAATATTATTCGCATGTATCGCACATAATACATTGCTAGTTAAATTATAAAAAGACTTTATTTAACATTAAAACTCATAACTAATATAATAATTGCAATGAATTAGATATTCTATAGTATTACTCATCCAGATAACAATCACTAGTGATGTATTTTTTCCTTTTTCTAGAGAGAAACAAAATGGATCAAAGATTTGCTCAAGTAAATCCTTCTTGCTATCATGTCCTGCCGTCTGTTCCTGCAACGAACTAAGATAAGCCCAATAATGGTTGTTCTGGTTAACCCAGTTTACGTTCCAGCTGGGTCTCTGCAAACGAACTAAGATTTAGCCCATTAGGCCATTACTGACTTCTTGTGGTTTTTTTTTCAATTTTGACATGTCATGTGCAGCTCAGCTCTTTTTTCCTTGTCATTTTGAAACATTAAGAAAAAACAGCTTAGCCCGACTATGTAGGTGTTGGGGCTCAAAGATTAAGCTAATTGGATCACTTACTTGTTTTACATGGATGTTGGCTCCATATTATTTACTTCTTTTTTATGCTAGAATGATTAGTAAAGAAAAAAAACGAGATTTTCTACCAACACAAGCAAACATTATTAATTGGCATGTTGCCAACAAATTTTTTTATAAAAAGAGTTCACTGATTTAGGACAGACTCATTAAATAATGCATTGTGATTTAGCTCAACACAACTCAACAAGTACTAAATAATAACTCAAGTAACGTTTTTGATATCATATCAACATGACTTGATCTTCCAAGGACAATTGCACTTGATAATCACTTCACAGTCTAATCAACCATCATAGTTAGGAGCTAAAAATACCCATACAGAGTTTCATTTCTTCTATTACTAGTTTCTTAAACCAACCCACATACTATATATGTTTAGACACAACAGTAACTCTTAACACAGTCCCTCCAACTATTTTCAATTACATATCTCGAAGCTAATCTTGACAAAACAAATCAGTCAGAGGAGGAAAAAGAGACGGACACTTTTAAAGCTAGCTAATAGATCATTGATGCATCAAAAGGCATAGTTTTTTCACCTTGAAGCCATGAATCAGGAAACCCTAGGTCTGGTGATAATTGCATTTGACCCCCTAAGCTGGATTGCGAGTAGAGATCAGTCTGCTGAGAAGGAAGAAAACTAGGTAGCAGGAACAGAGATGGGTCATCGTCAACAAAGTTGATCATGGCCTGGCGAAGCCATATCTGAGTCTTGAGGAACTTAACATAGTGAATGGCTTCCTCTAACATGGACACAGTGTCCATCTTAGACCCACCAGGGACCAAGCTCTGCAAGATCTTGAACCTGTCACTTATTCTGTGCCTCCTTTGCCTTGCCGCCACACTTTGTGGGTCAGTCGAGAGCTTCAGTGTTTTGCCTCTCTTCCCACCACCCTTCTTCTTCTCTTTGACAGTATTTGGTGCAGATGAAGACTCACAAGAATTAGGGTTACATGAGGGAAAGTAGTCCATTTGCCAGACTATTCCTCTCGTGGCCCGCACAAACTTTTATAAGTTTAGACACAAACACCAAACTTGACTTTGTTCATGTGATATATTTATAGAGAAAACTATGCTAGGCTAGGCAAGTTGATGTAAATGATGAAGAAGATGTCTTCGTTTGAGTCAGCCGATCTCTGGTGCAAGATACGGGTGTCCGTCCTCCCTCGGGCCTAGGCTAATAATAATAGAAGACTTCTAGGGAGTTCTCTGAATGAGTTTGATTGTGATCTAAATTGAATCAGAATTTAAATTTCATTTGTCAGATATAAACTGAAATTCATTATATAACATTTTATGCAATTGAATCCAATTACAATTCAACCTAAATTAGTTGTATGCATATATGTTAAAGAATTAAATGTTTGTTTTATGAAATTAAATTCATATTTTGGTGTAATGTTAAAATTCAAATCAATTGGTACATGTTTACTTTGTGGAAAAGGCTGGTATAAAGGGTTCGGATAAGCTTAAAATAATCTTGGTCCCACTTCCTATCTTATTTATTTTGGTGGCCCGGTTATAATGGGGTAGTTAAATACCAGCCTACAATGAATAGTTGGCAATATCTCATTTATACCATAGTATTTAATACCGCAGGTGGTATAAAAGTCTGGTCACAGAGGCATTGCCAATGCAAGGCTATGCAAAAATTAAACTGTCCTTGAACCTTTATTATATACAAATGAAAGGTCATCATTGTAAATAAATTATCAAATGAAGATATTATTAATGCTTTTGTTTTTTTTAAGTGTCACAAAAGTACAAACCATGTAAATAAATAAGGTGAAGTCCGAGAAAGAAAGAATGATTTATGCTATCCTACAACAAAAAAATATTACATTTATCAAATTTTTTATTTCAAATGATATGACACAATTTTTATCATTAAATATTAATATGATCTGTTTATTTGGTGATAGAAAAATTATACTACATCATTTAAGATATAGATTTAGTAAGAAAATTTTATAAGTATAACTCTATCCTTCCTACAACATGAGAATGAGGTGGATTGAAAATGAAAATGATATTTCAATCCCATCCAACCTTCTTCCCAGAGCAAATATATTAAAATTAAAGTTGATTTTCAGAGCAAATATCCAAATTTTAATGGATTTGATTATAAATTATAAAAAAATAAAGTATCTTCAATATTCAGATTGAATCACTTTTGATTGGATCCGATCTATTATTATATTCAATTTCAAGTCATTCTGGGACCTACTGTCACAAGACTAGGCAAAGCTTTAGCTTTGCTTTGGTTTAGATATTCCGAGTCCGAGGAGGGATAAAGATAAGTGAATGTAAAATCAGTGAACATTGTTGGTTGGAAAGAAAATTTTCGTCGGGAAGACAGTGGGACCCAAATCCCAAAGAAAGTAAATGAATCCTAAAGAAAAAAGAAAGGGGGGGGGGGGGGGGGGGCCTCCCCTAAAATCGAAGTGGATGCATCATAGTTCGCAGGTGTGTCTGAAACCCAGGACCAAATTTGTTTACGGGGGCTTTTGTCATATCTTGTAATGCTTTTTCCCTAGGATTCACACTGTTTACTTAAAAGATAATTCCTATTGATTGTTGCCTCGTTGGCTCTTCTTTTAAAGGCAATTTCGGAGCAAAGTTGCTAGATCATGTCTCTTGTTGGAACAAGTGAGTGACAACGTGAAGAGAAAGGAAAATAAGAATTTCACATCAAGGTTTTTGCCAAAGTGGGTGTTTTAGTGGAAGATTTTACTACTATTATTCTATAATGTGCGATTGGAGATGTGTGAATACTTTGGTTACTTCAACATGTAGTTTTTGTTGAAGACCTAATCATAGTTGTCTTGTAATTCCTCTAACCCACCGTCAGATGAAAGACTGACTACATATTGTTGACTGGGAAAAGAAAATTTCTGCTGCAAAATAGTAGTAAAAGAGAGAGAGTGTGAGAGAAAGATAGAGAGAGAAAGAAGCAGGAGCACGTTTCCATCCGGGTTTCACGGTGGGAGTGGGTAGAACCCTAATTATTGTTTCTTGTTCAGCTGAATTTACCTGCTTTAACTGTCCACTCAATCTTTAACCCACATCAGTCACAGCTCTTTATGTTGATGTATGTGGTGGTAGTGACGATGATCATGATCAATAATGATGGTGATAATACGTTACATGACACAGCTAACATGAAGTACTTACTTGATAAGAGCCTTTGATGAGACTAATTAACAAAGACCGCATCAAAAGAAGATAAAACCAGAACAGGTTCCACAGTGCTGCGACTGGTTGGGACAAGTTTTGATTTGTTAGTTGTTGGTGCTATTAGTGTCGAAACAGAACTACATAATGGTGTGTAATTAGACTATTCGAGGCAGACATGCATGAACACTGGTTACGTGAGTTCTTGACCAATAACAGAGACAGAAGTAGTTTCCTACAATAAGGGACTCTAAAATTGTTAAAAATAATTGAAACTTCTTAATACTGCTCTCAAGTTGGAAAGTGAAAGTGGTGAATTACCACCTTGTTGAGTAGATGAATATGTATACAATGAAACTTCACACTTTCCTCCAAAATATTTGAAGTTGTGAATTAGAGGACAAATTCAAGAATCTCATATTAACTTTTACGGTTCTTTTTAAATTCATCTTTTAATATAAATAGAAGAAAAACTTCATTCTATACTCAAAAAATACTTTTAAAGAAGAGGCTTATATAATAAAAACTTCAAGTTATAATTTTATACATATACATATATAAAAAGAAGAACAAGAAGAAGAAAAAATAAAAAAGAAGGGAGGCGACGTTCGAACGAGCCTTGCTTTCAATACTTTATTAAAAACTCGATTTCTAACATAAACTGAGATACTTTTACTCTCAATAGTTTGGCAAAAAATCTCATAAACGAGATATTAAGAGATGGGTACATTCAAACATGACAATTAAAACTTCAATTTATGTTTAAATTTTCTCTCTAACAGCTATATTTTTTTAGACCTTCCAAGTGGGGCTTTCTGCAATTGTAACAGAACAAAGAATGATAAAAATTTACTCTTCTTCTCTTCTATTCTAAAGCTTCAATACTTTATGATTTTCTATATTTGGGGTTGAGTTCTTGGTTCCAATATTACTAAAGAATGTAGTGTTTAATAATCTTAAAGTTAAGGCACTATATTTTGAAGGTAAAATTTTCAAGTGAAAAATTTATTATCTCAAAGATAACGAGTGTCGCGTCTTACCTAACTATCTATCTTCTTCATTTTTGTTTATTAATATTCTACTTCTAAAATTATTCACCACACATTATTCTACAACACATTCATGATAAATAGGATTGACGGCAACATAGAGAGCCGCTTGATTGTCAAAAAATAAGATAAAGGATGAAGATGTAAGACTCAAATCATATAGGAAAAGCTATCTAAGTTAACAATTGACAATTGCAAGGGAAGGCGATTCTAATTTAGCCGAAGAATGAGAAATTGTGATTCTTCTCTATTTTCCATTAAATTGGAGAAGTGACCAAGAAAGTTCAATAGTTTGTAGTTGATGGTTGCTTAATTGGACCATTAGCCCAATTAAAGTCACAAAAACCCTTCAATTGAAGGGTACTTGTAAAAGAGATACGAGAAGAAGTCTTTGGCTTGGAGAACCCTCAAGATAACTCAGAATGCGTGTTGCTGAGGTTCTTGAAATAAGAGATGAAGTCAAAAAGAGATCGGGGTTGTAGCCAGCTTATCTCCTCTAACGCTCAAATTAGTTGGCGTTCAAGATTCAGAGAATAAGTGTACAATACAAAACTAGTTCAATATGCATACATGTTGTTTTATTTCATTGGGTGTATTTATACTTTCAAAAATGTGATGACATGGCAAGCACTCGAGTACTCAAGGATTAGGCTTGAGAGCATACAATCGAAAATCCTTCCTAAAAAGGCCATCACATCAAATCTTATTTTTGAGCTGCGTAATAAATGTATTTCTGTCGTATTTCATTAATGCTTAGAAACAGAACACAACTATGACTTTGTTACCCAAGAAGCCGAGCATTTATGATGCACTACTCCTTGACCATCAATTCATCTCGAACATCAAATACTCTACACCAAGCACTCGCTGTATGGACCCGAGCATTTACAGATCAGTGCAGAGTATTCAATTTGATGCTCCTTGGGGCTATTCTGTCCATGAGGACCATGTCTCTACCTTTCCGACGGGTCGAGGCAGGTTTTGATTTATCATGACATGGCCATTATTATCCGTTACATCTATATTCTGCCTCCTAATGTGGTTTCAAGGACAATTTAATCCTCAATCAGGCTATTCTGCGTGCATCGTTGTCCCCTTGTGATGCATTTTCACCCAGTATGGGCACAAATAGCTTGGTCTCAACTCACAAGAAATGAAAGTTTGGGGGTTGCATCTACAATCTCTATCATGCCATGTGTCGAACTATAAGTGGTAAGCCGCCCATGTCCCGTCAATAAAATAAATCATGAAGAAATTCTCCATTACGAGGACTTAATTTCCATACTTGGCTCTATAGAAAAAGGGAGAAAATATTGAGTGCTTGGAGGGTACCATCTCAGAAAAAGGAGTTGGGCAACCACCCAAAAGTCCCATATCATCCAGAATTTCAAGTGTATACCTCCCTTTAAGAAATGCAAAAACTCTGTGATAAGCACACAACCTCGTACCTTAAAAAAAAAAAAATAGGAAGGCCAAATTCTAATATGTGATATCAATGATTTCTACAGGTTTATCATATAACTCAATTAGACCTACATTGTACTAAATTACATTTGAAATTTTTATCGATAGACACTCAATTTCAATGTGTACATAATATATATATTCAAAATTAGTTACAATCGAATCGAATCGAACGAAGCCAATTGTATTTATTCGAATTATATATATAAAAATATCAATGCATAATGAATTAATTAAATTTGGATCTGAATCAAATACTCGTCCAAAACATGATAAAATTCCTTTTTATTTTTTGTTTTTTCACACATATTGATAGAAATTAAATGTGGTTGATCAAAATCAAAGTCTTTGCTCTTTCATAGAGACGGTCTTGAGTTTACAAAGAAATTTCAAATTCATGGACGTGAGCTATCTCCAATTAATTAAATAACACACAAAATATTGGAAAATATAAATAATAATAATAAAACAAAACTGGTGTTTATAGAGTGTATGGGCTTCTATTTTCCGGGTCCCGGTCCATCCCTTATCTTGCCAGAACTCTCCACTGCTTTCCACGTGTAGAACACGTGTCATGCACCTCGTATCTTCTCTTTCCAAACGCGAGATTTATTGTACACGTGTCATCCAGACCACACAATTGTAGAACCAACCCCCTGTTTACAATGCAACCATCAACGAAGAAGGTCCAAGTCCGACAATGGCGAATGAATTCAGGCTGGTATCTCCTGGAAAAGACCACGAGGGAAGGCTACCAAGAAAGTACACAAGCGACGGACAGGGTGCTCTGAAGAACATATCGCCGCCGTTGGAGTGGTACAATGTGCCGGAGGGGACGAAGAGGTTGGCACTGGTGGTGGAGGACATTGATGCCCCTGATCCTGATGGGCCTATCGTGCCGTGGACTCACTGGGTGGTGGCGAACATCCCACCGACGTTGAAGGATCTGCCGGAGGGGTTCTCTAAGAAGGAAGATGAGATGGGTGGTGAGTATGCTGAGATCAAAGAAGGAAACAATGATTGGAAGGTCCCGGGTGGCGCGGCCCGAAGCTGCCGTCGCCGGGGCATCGGTTCCAGTTCAAGCTCTATGCATTGGATGATGATCAGCTGCATCTTGGACATGAGGTTTCGATTTGGATATGGGTTTCTTTTCGGGTCTTTAGTTTGTGTTACTTCTTGTTATATAATGGAGGGTAAAATATATTTTTGGTCCCTAAAATATATGTGTAGTGTTAATTTAGTCTTCAATCTTTCAATTGTATCTATTTGGCTAATGTTTTAAATTTATATTTACATTGTCTAATTTCAAATATTCTTAAAAAAATTGTTAACACTTGTGGACCAAATAAACATAAATTAAAAACTTTAAAAATTAAATAGACACCAAATTAGGAATCAAGTAATTATTGCGCTACCAAAAACGTCAATGATTGTCTAAGAGGCGTTTGGATTGAACTATCTAGATATAAATTAACAACTTTAGAAATTAATAAACACAATTGAACTATGTAGATATAAATTGAGAACTTTAGAAATTAATAAACACAATTGAAAGATTGGGACTAAATAGACACTAAACTGCATATTTGGACCAAAAGCATATTTTATGTATAATATAATAATGATATTTGGTGATGGTACAATTGATGGCATTACAGGTGACGAAGGAGAAGCTGTTGGAGGTAATAAAGGGGCATGTGATTGGGGAGGCGCTTCTGGTGGCAAAATTCTAATAATTTGGTTTTTTAACTTTGTTTGTCCAGAATAATAATAGATCATACATAACATAACTATGTTTAATTGGTTTCTTAAATTTGACAGAGCTATGCTTTTATATGTCCATGACACTTTTTGTTTAAGCTTTTTTGATTCATTTAAATTTGGTCTTTCGGCTAAGATAAACTGTTTACATTCTGTTCTTAGATCTACCATCAACGCCTCCTCTCTCTTATTGACTCAAATATTCATAAACCTCCATTGGGCCTCACATTGTAGTTGTTTTCTAATTGGGTATGGAGATTTCAAGCACCATCAATATATAAAATGGAGGACGTGTGTACTATATATAGTTTGTTGGTTTGCTCAGATTTTAAGATATTCAACTTAGGTTGAATGTCTCTCTTAAGGGGTTTTTATTACTTAATTTTGATCAATAAAAATTATTTAATTACCAAAAAAAAAAAAAAAGGCCCAAACAAGCAAGATAGGCACATGCGCTTGATCTTGGCACATGAGCTCTCTCTCTTAATAAGAGAGCTCCATCAATCACCTAATTGTTTGTTTGCTCATATGTTAGCTGGGTATCTAATCAATTGCTTGAAGAGTTGACAGCGTATTTCAATGTGGATGAGATTAAGACATAGGTAACGTAAGATGAGCGTGAATCAGAGTTTCGAGGCTCACGTATGATACTACGATAAAATATTCAGGGGATTAAAGGGGGTGTATACAGTGAAAATATAGTAGTTCACCAGCTCGGGAGTTTGGCTAATTCACTCTTTAATGGAGATTTTTACTTTTTCTTTCACTATTTATTATACCTAAAGGTTTACAGACTGTAATATGTGATACTAGGGTCCTCTCCCCTCATTGAGGGCGTTACATAGTATTTATAGGATTGTTCCTTATTCAGTGGGATCTTGACCGAGATTCTGACCCTTATTTCATGGGGTTCTCCTTAATTCTAGGAGAAGATCTTGATTGGTTGCGATTAGGTGTCTTGATTATAACTTCCTAACGCTTTAGGAACCTCTCATGGTTATCCAGTCGTTGCCTTACCTCAAGAGACCTTCAGCACTTGTCTTCTAACCTTAGTTAATATGGCTGACCTCCCGGTCTGAGCTAAACTCAATTACTTTAGGCTGACCTCAGTTACTTTAAGTATCATCAGTTGTCCCCCAGCCCTTGGTCCAAGCGAGCTTGGGCATGGGCTGGGCTTAGCTGACCTTAGTCCGCATGTGAGATGCATGTGAGGGGGCTCTTTGACTGTTTACAACAATCATGGCTTCCTCGATTCCCGCGCATATTTCAGCCCACATCACTCAAGCTTTAAATGCTCAATCGGTTGCTCAAAAAATTGCTCAAAACTCCCTGTTCATCTTTTACGTTGTTCATCTTTTACGTTGTTCATCTTTGTCTCCGGCTCTTTCTCTCTACGATTTCTAGGTTTTCCTACATGCGATTCTCTTATTCTCTACTCAAAACTGTGCTTTTTAGGTTCGACTCGAAGTCCTGCTTTGCTCTTCTCCTCCAATTTTGTTCTTCGACTGCTGTTTGTTGCTATTTTCCCTATCTAGGTACGCTTCCTTCTACCCTTTTCTCTTTCTCTTGTCTTTCCTCACTCTAGATTCCTTGACTTCGAGGTGGCCATTATTTTTCTGAATTTCTCAGTTCTTTTTCTTTTGGAATCGCGATTGTTGCCTATCTATTCTTCCTCGCTTTGTGGATTGGAACTCTACTGTGCGAATTCTTACTGTCGTGAGGTACAATGTTGACCCTAGGATTATTAGGGGGTGTTTAGTTAGTATTCCTCCTTTTTATAATTCTTTCGATTTGCCTTTCTCTTTGCCAATCATGTCTGCCTCCTCTAGAGCAACCCCTTCCTCTATTTCCCTCCTAGGCGACAGGTCTGCCGAGAGAGATTCTGATTTAGGGAATGTTGGGGATGCAGATTGACAACTTCCCCGGTGTTGAGGTTGTCGATACCAAGGTGAACTCCAATGAACTCCCCTCATCTTCCTCTCATGTACCTCCTAGTGCTGACAAGGGTAAGAGTAAGGCGAGTGAGGTTGGGATTCTTGATAGTACAACAAGTATGGGGGCTGCCTTCAGGCATGCCGAGGTCATGGGTCCCAGTGGGGTGGATCCTATTCTCATGGAAGCTCTTAGTGCTCGTTTTGGTTTTTCCCCTAGTGTTCAGCCCTGGTGCCCGAATAAACTCACCCTATACGTTGCCCAAGTGCACAAAAGATTTTGTATCTTTGTGGCCGCTTTCGAGAATGACTTTTGTTTTCCTATGCACCCCTTTATCAAAAATGTTCTGCAGCACCTCAATGTCTGCCCTGTTCAGCTTTCTCCTAACTTTTGGGGTGTTTTAGTGGGTCTTTTAGCTTTCTTTAAGAAGCATGTGCTTGGGACTCCCACCATTTGTCTGCTTATGGACCTTTTCAATGTCAAGCTTACCTCAACTGAGGGCTTTCTATATGTTCCAGGCGGACCTTGCTTAGGCAGATCATCACACACCTCCCCAGTTCTCATAAAGGCTGGAAAAAGAATTTCTTTTTCGTTGGGGGTGTCAATTGGGAATACAACCCTGATGATAAAACAGATACTCTTGGGATTCCCAGAGCCTGGTCAGCCCCAGATAACTTAGGTGAGTTTTTGCCTGACTGAACTGCGGTTCGAAGATTTATGAGTTGTTTTCCTAATCTCTGCATTTTTGGTGTTCCCCCTTTCTTAGGCATTCGACTTGAACTCAGCGTCGAGGACAAGCGGGTAAAACTGAAGTTGGCTAAGTGTAATCCAGAGAGGTACTCTGAGTTTTTCAAACCCTGGGAATTAGAAAGGCAGGGATTCGGCCCTCCTCCAATCCCACTTTCCTTTATTCGACCTGAGGACATAAAAGGTAATGCTCTTTCCCTTGTTTGGTTTCATTGTTTTCCTCCTTTTCTTTTTCCTTTTAACTAACCAACTCAAGCCAAATCTCCCAGGGTCTTCTACAATGAAGCCTACCCTTGAGATGTTCCAAGCTAAGGTAGAGCTACTGAAAAAGAAAAATCAGGGTGGTACCAAACGCAAGGCTGAGGGCAGTTATGATGGGAGCCTAGTTACTCGAGTTAAGGTTTAGAAAATGGGTACTTTCTTTGCCTCTGCCTCTATCTAGAAGGCTCCACTATCCCCCCTATATGCTTCACCAACCTCAGGACTTCCTCTCCCCCAAGGGACCCGACCTGCCACTGAAGATGCTCCTAGGCAAGATCAGTCATCTCCTTTTGCATTTGAAGTTTAGAGGGCCTTGGAGACTGCTTGCACTCTCCCTGGTCGTGCTGCAACTGCATCAACCAAGGAGACCTCCTAACCCTTCATGACAAGCAAAGGGGTTTTCTCGAAGTCTGAGAATTCTCTTATTACCGATGTGAAGCGTGCTGCAGAGGTCATTGCCTCCATTATCCCAGAGTCTGACATTGATGCGGCCACTTCTGTACTCCTGAAAACCTGTGTTTCCACTGTGATGTATGGCTGTACCTCGGTGAGATTCTAATTTGTCAAATTCTCTTCTTTTTTTTTTGGTTGTCCTGTGCTCTTCCATTTACACTAATCTTTCTTGCTTATCTTCAAACCGTCATTCAAATAAGCAGCTTGTTAAAGCGAATCCAAGCCCTGGAGGGGTCGGCCAATGCTTCCAAAGCTTTTGAGCTAAAGTGTACCAATTTGGCCTTTGAGAATAATGACCTTAAGGTCCAGGCAAAGAGTTGCAAGAGCAAGTGGAGCAGTAGTTTTTCCTTGCCAAGTCCAGATAGGAGGAGCTCAGCAAGACTAAGGAAGACCTCTGGTCAAAAATCGATGACTGGATCGAGGAGAGCCGGAAGTCCCTTGATGCTTTGGCTTCCTTCAGGAACATGAAGAGGGAGTACGAGGTGCTAGCAGAGGCAAATGATGCTATCAAGGAGGAGTTAGGGGCTGCCAGGGAGACGTTGGAAGTGCGAGACACTACCATCTGAAAAAAAGATGAGCTGATTGCCCAGCTAGAGGATGATGTTCTCACCAGGTGGGCAAAAGGGTGGATTACATTCTAGGGTATAGCTGAAAGGACTTTTCCTGAAATGAACTTTGACTTTTCAATTTCCCCTGAGGAAGAGGCGAGGGGGTCTGATGAAGAAGAGGATGATGCTCCTACTCCTCATGTTTCTGAAGATATGCCCATAGACTCTAGATGGCTCATTCTTCTAGTTGGGACTTCAGCTCAAGATGCTTCTGCCTCATTAGGTATTTATACTCCTCTTGCTGCCGAGCCTGCTTTTTCCCTCCCTATTGAGCTGGCCACAAGAGCCTTGGTTGAATCTGAGGTCCCTGCCTCTTTGCCTGCTCTTGGCCCTCCTGAAACTTCAACTGTTGCTGTACCAGAGAGGTCACCTGCTGAGCTGGAGAGCCCTTCTTCCATTCTTTGTGCTGAGACATTAGCTACTGCACTGTAGAGCCCTTCATCTACTCTCCCTTCAAAAACTTAGGATTTGTAGCTTTGGGCTAATTATCTCAACATTGTAACATTTTGAAACGAAAATTTCAGAATTGTAGCGTTTAATACCTTTAATTTACTGCTTATAGCTCTCATTTTTTTCCCCTTTGCTTTTAATTTGTTGCTCTGCTCTACCATCAATCGAATGAGGATATTCCTCAACTCTTTTTTTCTCCTTTGCTTTAGGGGGTCATTCAGATCTTCTTGAAATAAAAAAAGTTAGGAATAACTGTTGATGTGCCTAGCTGAGCTTCCAACTTCTCAATCTGCTTCTGTCCGAACTTCAGCAACTGACCACCAGAGCTCGGACTTTACTTCATCCTCAAAGATTTAGGATATGAAGCCAGTTTTTCAAACTTATCAACTCATGGTTGTGACAATTTTAAACCGGAATGCAACTATGTAACTTCTACTGCGTAATGCAATCTTCTTATCCATTTCCCTCTCTCAGCAAATGAATAGAAAATTTGCATGATCAGTTTAGCATACACAGTAGGGGTGTAGTTTTTAGCTATTTGAAATATAAGGCAATG